GTCTGTGATGCAATTTTGCTATTCGCAGCCCAGAAGAGAGAGCGATCTCTCACCCGGAGCCACAGCGCGCACAGCACGACAGCCCTGCTTAATGAGTGACAATGAGGACAAAACGTGGTTACACTTTAGATCTGGGATATTATTCTAAATGTATTTTAGATTTCCGCTTTCAAAGATTATAAAAAGAAGATATTTGAGATGAAACCATTACAGACGCATTCTGTCTAGCGCAACTAGTTCCTTCCCTTCACAGCGTTGCGCTGTCATTTCTTCCTAAAACCCAAACGTACCGTCAGAATCAGCACGATCGGTGATTGTTGGAAAATGCAGTCTGTACTGTTGCTAAACTGCGGACGCGTTAAATCATTAAAAGAGCTATTAAAAGCACAAAAGTCTGCGCAAGAGACGTTGTTCACGACGCGCGCTCCGAAATGCACTAAAACGAGACAAGAAAAGTAGGCTATCGCCTCATTTTGGGCTTCATGTGCGCATCTAAACCATCAAATATACATAAAATATAAAAATGACCTGCTCTGAGATTCATTTAAACACAGTTTATGTCTTAATTGGACGTAAGTTGGGAGAAAATGATGGTGCAGCATCAGTCATCTATTACAGTAGAGTTCTGCATTCGTTCTTAAGGGGCAGTAGTCTAATAAACGTGACGATTGAGCCAATGCGAATCAAACAACAAAAGGCAGATAAAATTCACTCACAGCTCTTGAATGAATAACTTAAACTTTAATAAGCATTAATCTAACCATGATAAACTATGCAGTGTCATTTTACATTTGATTACTAGCTAAATTAAATTTCTTTTCAGAGAGAGCGACAGATTTAACTGAAAAGTAGCTAATTTTAGACCTTCCTGAAATTAAAGCACTGTGTATATAGGCTAATTTGTATCTTTGTTTAATTGTATTCTTTGTTTGACCATGTGTTTGTACTTGTTTTTGCTTATCTCATGTATATATGCATAACAAATAGATATTTTATACATTTTGTGACTAGCCTAAAATGTAACTGGTCGTATTTTGCATTAACACCTAGCGGTGGATGCAGTTTGAAGACCCAGTCAGTGACGTCACAATATGCATTTTTTTTTTTTAAATTCACGATCACCATCTCCAAAATTGTACCTTTTTTTTTACACTGAATCTTGGAAAAAAAAAAATATAGACCTACCTACCGACCCTTTTTTTAAAAAAAATTGCTGTTACTGCAAACCAAAATATTTTTAAGGATGGCCTTATACATGCAGCTTTTTGAGCCCTTAATAGAGATGAATTGAATTTGGTATTAATTGAAGTTAATTCTTTTGTCGTACTGCAGGACAGTTTAAAACTATAGAGAAGACGAAAGGTTACAGGACCTACCATCATCAAAATGTTGATGTTGGCTTGGGGGAAAGTTCCACATGGACAAGCATGTGTTCTTTGTGTCAGCCCTCCAAATTTAGTGCAAATTTCACTGATCTTTTCGAACAACTAAGAGCTTGTGTGATTTAGTTTGGTTCTTTGCAATGTGACATCAATGGGATCGTGACTACTAGTGAAGTGACATAACAAAGTAGCACAGATTTATACAACATTATAAAACTATAAAGCTTGCCAACTGAAGAGTTTTTCTGTCTGGTGTAAAAATGTGTTCACCAAACAAAATCCAAATGCATTCTGGTCATTTACAGAAATTTTTTCCATTAATACAGATTTGCCATAATGCAAAAAACAAAACAAAACAATGAATTGTTAATTACTGTAATAGTTACAGCAGTTGTAGTAAAGATGGTGTACGCGTATTACACATTTAATTTAGTCTTTTTTTATTTAGTAATATGTCACTTCACGTGACCCTAAAGATAATGTCTTATTGGTCGGATGAGTGTTTTTATTTTCTCTCTAAAGTGAGGTTCTCTGAAGATTGTTTTACCTAACTTTGTTACAATGACAAAAGACATTACTGTCATTATGGGATGCTTTCAGTGAGGCTGCACTACTCATTCTGTGGCAAGAATCTGTAATAAATTCTGCATGCTGCATGCACTGCCAGGCGTCTCTGGGAACACCCGATTGCTGTATGTATCTTCTCTAACTCCATCAGGGTCTCATTGTGCTGGCTTGTTTAGCACCATGGTGCTGGGCGGCTCCTCCAGCGCTCCTAACCTACAAGATTACGCTCACGCACACCGTAAAAAGCTGACCTCCTCTGGCTTCTTAGATGGTATGTGCAAACACGCACACACACCTTCTAATGGTGCATCCCCGTCCCTACTTTTAAGGAATCCTGGAGTCTTATGTGTTTTCAGTGGGAAACTACTGGATTTTGTGTTGTTCTCATTGGAATAAGTTTTCCTTTTGTGGTACAGATGCCCGTCTGCCCCGATTAGATTCATTTATGATGAGAAACCTATATTACTACAAACTCAGGATCTTTTCGGGAGTCCTGCAAAAAGTATGCTATGGACTGTACATAGCGTATGTTTAATTAAAAATCAGGTATATGTTATCGATAAAAAAACGTTTGTTTTGTAAATCCTACTGTATGTGTGGCCTTTGTCTCGTCCTGTGTAACGCAAAGCTGTATGTTGAATTCATCTCACCAGAATCCCTGCGCTGTTAGCAAATAATGTAATTTATTTATTAATTCACCTTAATGTAGCTCATACTACTGTAAACGCATCTGTTTTTTTTGCAGTCAGTCCATACGACTTATTGTACGTTCATAAGGATGGTCTCCTGTTTTCTTAGCTTTCCCTTCAGTAGCTACACCACAGATTTACATGTAACTTACATTATCATTATTTTCACTGCAAACAAGAATAACAATAACACACATTTCTTTAAACCCTTGTGCATCAATATTAAGAGTTACTCTAAGGTCCTTAGAGGACAAAAATATCTGTCAAAAAACTTATTCTATTGGTACGCGTGTTTGAATATATACAGTGGGGCCAAAAAGTATTTAGTCAGCCACTGACTGTGCAAGTTCTCCTACTTAGAATAATGAGAGAGGTCTGTAATTTTCATCATAGGTACACTTCAACTGTGAGAGACAAAATGAGAAAAGAAAATCCAGGAAATCACATTGTAGGATTTTTAAAGAATTTATTTGTAAATTATGGTGGAAAATAAGTATTTGGTCAATAACAAAAGTTCAGCACAATACTTTGTAACATAAACTTTGTTGGCAATGACAGAGGTCAAACGTTTCCTGTAAGTCTTCACCAGGTTTGCACTCACTGTAGCTGGTATTTTGGCCCATTCCTCCTTGCAAATCTCCTCTAGAGCTGTGATGTTTCGGGGCTGTCGCTGGGCAACACAGACTCCACAAATTTTCTATGGTGTTGAGGACTGGAGACTGGCTAGGCCACTCCAGGACCTTGAGATGCTTTTTACGGAGCCGCTCCTTCGTTGCCCGGGCGGTGTGTTTGGGATCATTGTCATGCTGGAAGATCCAGCCACGTTTCATCTTCAAGGCTCTCACTGATGGTAGGAGGTTTTGGCTTAAAATCTCATGATACATGGCTCCGTAGATCAGTTTTCCTGTCCCCTTTGCAGAAAACAGCCCCAAAGCATGATGTTTCCTCCCCCATGCTTCACAGTAGATATGGTGTTCATGGGATGCAACTCTCCATTCTTCTTCCTCCAAACATGACGAGTTGAGTTTTTACCAAAAAGTTCTATTTTGGTTTCATCTGCCACATGATATTCTCCCAATCCTCTTCTGGATCATCCATATGCTCTCTGGCAAACTTCCGACGGGCCTGGACATGTACTGGCTTAAGCAGGGGGACACGCCTGGCACTGCAGGATTTGAGTCCCTCTCGGTGTAGTGTGTTACTTCTTGTAGCCTTTGATATTTTGGTCCCAGCTCTCTGCAGGTCATTCATCAGGTCCCTCTGTGTATTTATGGGACTTTTGCTCACTGTTTTTATGATCATTTTGACCCCACGGGATGAGATCTTGCGTGGAGCCCCAGGTCGAGAGAGATTATCAGTGGTCTTGTATGTCTTCCATTTTCTTACACTTGCTCCCACAGTTGATTTTTTTCACACAGAGCCTAATGTAGATTCACTCTTCCCAGCCTGGTGTAGGTCTACAATTTTCTTCCTGGTGTCCTTTGACAGCTCTTTGGTCTTGCCGTGGTTGAGTTTGGAGTGTGACTGTTTGAGGCTGTGGACAGGTGTCTTTTATACAGTTCACTGTTTCAAACTGGTGCCAATAATACAGGTAACGAGTGGAGGACAGAAGAGCTTCTTAAAGAAGAAGTTACAGGTCTGTGAGAGCCAGAAATCTTCCTGGTTTGTGGGTGACCAAATACTTATTTTCCACCATAATTTACAAATAAATTCTTTAAAAATCCTACAATGTGATTTCCTGGATTTCTTTTCTCATTTTTCTCTCATAGTTGAAGTGTACCTATGATGAAAATTACAGACCTCTCTCATCATTCTAAGTAGGAGAACTTGCACAATCAGTGGCTGACTAAATTCTTTTTGGCCCCACTTTGGTTTTATCTGTGCAGAGGTAAAGGAAAGGGAAAGAAGACAATTGGGAGATTGTTGAAGTAAACAAAAAGTAAGGGGAATTTGTGTATTTCCCCTTATCCTGCACAGTGCACACACACCTGCACGATATGGCGCTTTTCCACTGCATAGTACGGTACGGTTCGGCTCAGTACGGTTCGACTCACCACGGAACAGTACGACTCGACTCGGTACGGATCGGTTCGGTTCGCTTAGCTCGGTTGCTTTTCCACTGCAGTAGTACCCCTTCAAAGTGTGTGGGACTGATTTTTATTTGCGCGCGCCTCTACTGCCATGACATCATCTTAAAAGCGCCACATTTTCCAACCCACAACACAGGAACAATGGAGACTATCGAGGAGATGGTGTTCCTGATTCTCGGTATGTGGTTGTTTTTAACTGCTAGACGGAAAAATGTGTTTAAAATGAGGCTGATGGCAGCAAAACAAAATACTGCTAAAAAAGTGTCTCGTGTCGCAAATCCAATGACGCTAGTAGTGACGCTGGTAGTGACGATTCTGTCTGACCAATCAGTGATCTGCAGTGTTTCACGTCACATTTTAGTACCGTTACGGTACGCTTGGAACCTCAACAGACCAGGTCCCATTTAAAGCGACCCGAAGCGAACCGTACTGTACCGTACCTTGCAGTGGAAAAGCACCACAAGTGAGCCGAACCGAACCGTACCGTACTATGCAGTGGAAAAGCGCCAATAGTAGCCAAACCTTGTTTCTTTGTATACAGACATAACTAAAACAAAGCCTTGGGGCAAATCTTGGAAGCTAGAAATTTCCCAGCAAGCCCCACAGCTCTGTATTAAAATAACTATTGCAGTTGGAGTAAGGCAATAATGTGCTTTTCAACGCAGATTTATATTAGTGTTAACTTCTAAAGAAATATTAAGCAAACAAATCCTGTACAGCTTTTAATTAGTTAACCTATTTTGGTAAAATGATTGATTCCTCATAATATTATATAGGATTATGGAATCGGTTAATGGTTCTGTTAACATATCCAGCCAACTTGTAGTGTCAGTAAGAACTGTTCAACGAAAGTTTTAAGTCCATTTATCATGCAACAACTGACTTTGTAGCTATTATTTGAGGAGAATTATAACTCAGCATATGTTTTGATGACCTATTATGTTGTTTTTCATATTTGGTTCCCACAAATGATTTTTTACATTATTTATTTAAGATTCCACGGCTAATTAGCGTTGTAGATCATGAAGTTCATGCAGTTGCAGTGCTAAAGAAAGTGTAGCGTCATCACGAGTTAACCCTAGAATGCATAACCTGTACCGAGAGACGGCCTCCTGTCTTTATCTGTCAGTGCAAGGAAATCATTGAAGAATTTCAGCAATGTTCAGTTGTCCTATATACCATAACCAAATTCAGTTTAATATAATTACTTGTGACAAATGTGTATTTATGTGAGATTATAATTTACTAGCAGCGTTTCCCTAATATATGGCTGATCCTTGCAGACATGCGAGTTGAGTTGTTTTTCTGAAACTAATAAGATGAAGAACTGGTAAACTTGTGTAAATCTGAATAAGTGCAGTGGATGTGTTGTAGTCTTGTGTCCATTAACTGTAAGAAGGTTTGTGGAGACTTGTTGCATGGCCAGTAAACAGAGCCTTGAGAGTAAAGACGGGTGAGCTTTGGGCCAATGAGAAGTCCTGATGCTGAGGTCATCCTTATCTAATGCCACTGGCTGTGGTTGTGTGCTAGTCCAAGATTCAATCACAGAGGAATACTGACCAACCAATGTATAGTGAGTCATAATGCCATATGAAAATCCTACGGGTCATTTTGAGACCCTTTACAAAGGCTTGGGGTAGTGATTTAAAAAAAAGTGATTTTATTTGAACAAAATATTCCCAAAAGTGGTGCGTCTCTTGGAACAGCATTGCACATTTTTGAAAGTCTCTATTATCTGACACAGTCTATCTTCTGACTAGCTGATCATCTGAGTGTGGAGATTCATGACGGCTCTGTCGGGTCGTTTAACCCCCCGTATGCATTCTAGGGTTAATAGTGTTGTTGCGTCCCAATTCGCCTACTTATACTACGCCTTTTGTGAAAAAAAGTACACACTTTTGAGTGTGTAGCAAAAGAGTAGGCAAGCTTTGGGACATACTACTTCGTCATCTTTAACGGACAGCTCTGTCGCGTGCATCCTGTCACCATAAACTGCTCTGTCAATCATCTTGTCAGAGTTAAAATACTCCATTCAATCTAATTTAATTTCTTACCTTTTCGGAGAGAAATGTTGTTGCACGTTCACCTGCCAGTCGTGAGTCTTTCATGCGGAGACTCTTCTCAAATGTGTTTGCAAATTGAATATAACACCGTGTCCTAACTACATGCGACGCGATGCCGCGACACGCGATAAAAGGTATCTTTTCCATGTTAATCAGAGTTTTTGTCCTAACCAGACGCGACGGTAACACGCGAAGTTTCTAATTTAAAAACGGTTCCTATTTCTGCGACGTCGCGTTCATCTCACACAGAGATCCACACAGAGATCTTATTGGATGGAAGTTCTGCGTTTCATGAATATTTAATCATCAAACATGGACGACGAGGAACTGATTGTCGAAGTTAGGTAGAACCAAGGCATTAGGTCACTGTGCCACAAGCTATAACGGATAATTTACCTCCGATTTTGAAAGCATATAATATAGCGTGCA